TTCCTAGAGTGTCCAAACTAACCAGCATTAAATTCTGTTGTTTAAAAGGGAAGCTTAAAGGCGAGTGTTTTCATAACTGTTGTGTTTATGTGCACAGGGACAGCTCAAGCAAGAAAATAAATTCAGAGAGAACATCGGTAACTGTGTATGGAGTTTAGCTTTGTGCAATTAAGAAAAAAATCCCAGAAATATCTGATATTTTTTTTTTCTGAAACCACCCTATTTTACTAGAAGAATCAGTATGCACAAATACCTGTACATGAGATCTTTCACTTTGGATTGAGGCATTTCAGCTCTCACCAGTTAATTCACATTAACATGGTTCATTCTCCTTCTTTCAGCCAGCCTTTCACACTTCTGCTGCCATGCTAACAAGGCATCTATCATCCATTTGCTATCAAATGAAAAGGTGGTTATTGGTGTCCATCAAGTATTATCTCAATAGCAAGGGAAGGAACTAATTTAATACACCTGGTCATATAGGCAGCTTTTAAGTGGTAACACTGTGTCTTAGTAAGTCACCTCATTTCTAAAGTAATAATTTCAGAAGTAAATATGCTATGCATCTGCAACACAACGCAATAACTGCTTCCATGTGGGGCTTTGAGCAACAGGTAAAGTGGAAGGTGTCCCTGCCAATGGCAGGAGAACTGGAAATAGATGATCTTTAAGGTCCCTTCCAAGACAACCCATTCCAGGATTCTACAGTTTAGATCATGCATCCATGAAAATCAATTCCACCCTTGTTCTGAATCAGCAGCTTTCACATCTTCACTCTGGCAGGCAGACTGCAGAAGAACTGCTCTGTTGCTAAGTGTGCAGCGGGGGGGGGGGGGAAGCACAGCAATTGCACTCTCTCTGTTTTGGATCATACAAATCACTCAGATTATAAAAACTTTATTGCTGCTCCAATACTTATTTCAAATTATTATTTGAGTAAGAGCATGAACAATCTTCCAAATTCATGTGGTTTTCCACCACGGATTTAGACTTCTGCAATTAGTTTTGCCCGACCAGGCAGAAGCTTTTAGAGTAAGACAGGATCACAGACCAAGTTTTATGCATGTTACCATGACAAAGCAGCTTACATCCTGCAGCCTCACCTTTCTGGATCAGCTACCTGGAGCTGTCTAAAGTTACCACCGTGCTTTCCTGCAGGTTTATGAACCAGAGTACCTCTTGTTGAATGATACCTCAATTAGCAAGAAAGGGCAATGAGCCTGCAGCCAAGATGGCAGTCAAAGCAAAGGGGCCCTCTCCCCCAAGAAATACCATTGACCCTCCAGATTATTTTGAGAGCTTTCTTCCAGCCAGGTGACTTTCACTGGAAGGAGAACAGAGTTCTTCACTGTTTATGATCTTCTTAAATGCTCATTTTTCCCATTTGCTATAGACGTATGCACAGTTAGTTTGAATGACAATTTTGAGGATGCTGAGTAAAAAAGGGACTTAACAGGCTTTAAAAGGACTGACACATGAGGCAAGCCATACAATTATTTCACTATTACATTTCAGCTCTACATCGCTAACTATTATTTTTACTCCCTTCATGTGACATTTTAGTGTTCATTTGTAACTCTGTGAACCAGAGGAAAAACTAGTTTATTTGTTAGCCCACTAATTAAACACAGTTAAATATAAAGCAAAGTTCTAAAACCTGCACCATTACATAAGGATGTCATGAATAAATCAGTGAATTCCCTGAACTGAATCAAAGTAGTTGAGCAAAAGATTTGGAATAAGCTCCCTCATACACAATCCTCTATATGGTAAAATAGTGTACTTCTGTGCTAATAACACTACATAGCTACCTAACAGTCATCTAGTGCTATTTAGCTAACAGAACAACTCTTACAATTAGCCCTCACAGTAGCACAGCTTAAACATGAACAGCTATGACACTGAAAACAAACTTTTTTGGTAGTTGCTACTTCACATTTGTACCAGAGTCTGAGCAAAAACTATCAGAGTCTAAACTCGAGGAGTCTGCAGGTGGAAAGAGAAAGATCCCCACTGCTGCATTAAAGACTTCATGATAATTAAGTATTTCCCTGTACCGATTCAACCAACTAAGTGATGTCTTCCCATTCCACTGAGCTCACACATGCAGCGAGAGCTTTTATCTTGCACAGGACAGTAAAACATTTCCTTCCAGCTGGGAACTGGACCATTCTCTGTCTTGTTCTATTTATCCCTATTAAAACTTTAAGCATGGTTTCAAATTTATTTTGTAGCTTAAAATTAAATTCCTGTCACCACTGCTGCCCTTTGCAGTGATGCCACCAGCTATTTAGGAGACTAAAGTGGTGTAGAACATCTGTAACATTTCTATGCTTCACCTGTAACATTACTTTAACCTTTTGACTACCACAAATAACTTCAAGTCTTGCAACATTTTAAGTATATTCTCCATGTATATTAATATGCTTGCAATTGTAACTACACAGATAGCACTTCTCTTGTGACATTCTGCATCACTAAATATGGTTTTATGAAATACATTGAAAAAAAAGTCTCGTATATTTGGTAATGAATTAACATCCAGAAATCATGAATGCCTCTCTGAATTAAGAAAAATAGCATCTCTCACAAAACAGTAATCTTTTGATAGAAAGGCAGATGTGACCTTACATACAATTGTTCTTCTCATGTTTGTTTCTTTACCCTACAAAGGAATTAATTCTTTAACACTGAAAGTTTATTATCAGAAGTACAGTTACACTGTATTCAAGAATTTTTATAGCAGCAAGTTAATTAATACACAGTATAGCTCTTCTGATGTGAGGCAAATAGGACTGGAACAGTTCTAGCCTCTTTTGAGAATAAATATGTATCAGAACATTTAGAAATACCAGGAAATCACACCTCCCCTCACATTCTGTCATGGCACATCAGTATTACTGAAGTCAAGCCAAAACTCCCACTACTTTGAGATTTTTGCCTCGCATTGAAGTCACTGGAAAGCTACTGTAAAAGCCCTTTACAAGACAAAACTTTAAAGAACATGAACAAAGAGCCAGCATCCCAAACTTAAATTGAACAGCTACCTGATAGCTCCCACCCTTTCTAAAACATAGGAAGGTAAGCACAGCAAAGTCATCTGAAGGAATGATAGCAGCAAGTGTTCTAGAGAGTTAAAATGTGAACCATTTCATAGAATTTATTTCTCTAATTTTATCTGAAGTTCTCCCCAAGTGTGCTCTATTGACCCAAGACACCAACCCTCTTCTTATCAAATGAGCTAATTTAAGCGTATTCTGCAAACAGAAAAGACACATTGCAGCTTCTCAAGATTTTTTTAATCCTCTTGATGAGAATGAGAAAAAAAATAATGAAAGACTCTGAAGTAATACATCTTTCTTGACAGTAGAGTGGCAGTCAAGAACTTGGGCTCTGGAAATACAGCACAAATTCCAGAACATGGTGATAAGCATATCCTGCCTCGAGAGCCATACACTTCAACCTTGGAAGGTGTGCAGGCTAGAGCCAGCAGTAATGACAATGATGGCAGGTGAGCAGGATCTCTTCTGAGTTCCTGGCTTAGTGTGCGACTTTAGAGTAGACAGCACTCACTTCTCCAGTGGTGAGTCTGCCCCACTTCTGCCTCAGGGATCCGAAGTTACAGGCTTGCAGCAGTCATTAACAAAGACACAGGCACTTGATAAAGGATAAGGTTCTAAACCCATTAAAAGCCAATAAAAATACTTTGGTGATAACTGTCTTAGACCCTGAGCAAGGAAGTATTACACAAACCTAGAACAAGTTTTCAATCTGTGTTAGTCAGCACTGGAAAAAAACACAGTGAATAAAACCCCCAGCTATCTCACAGGAAGCTAAATCTCTCAGATCATCATCTTGTGCCTCCATTATCCAGACAAAAGTTGCACTATATTTTGATGGCATCAGAACTCAAGGATTCCCATTGTTACATGAACTGGCATAGCTACTACTGAGGTGTATTAACAAACGGCCTTGCTAACTGACTGCAAGGAGATTAAAATCTAGTTTGTTACTTAGTCTCTGAAGTGAGGCAGCTGACAGTTAACGTTATTTCATGTGCTTTGAATTTTCTTCACTATGCTTCCTCCAGTAACTTCAATTGACCTCACTGATTTAATGATACCTGAAGAGACTAACTAGTTTACTGGAATCTTCCTGTTGGAATATTTTTATAATTGATCATAATTGCAATAATTGATCATAATTGCTCTTTGCATTTCAAAATTCCAGAGACAAGTCTAAATTGCATCAAAGTACAGGAAAACAACGATGACATCCAAACTTTGACCTATTATCTTTTTTTCTTTCCCCACGATGTATTTAATGACCTAAGAAAGTTACAAAAGCAACTTTAAATTACATTTACAAATATAAACTAATTAAATATATTTAGCTAACACTGAGAAAGTAAAATCCCAAGGAACATAAGGACAATAAAAACACAAACAAACAAAAAAAAAAACTCCAAATAAAAAACCAAAACATTAAGAGATGACTGACTCTACAGTAATTTAAGACTTTTTTACTGAGTTGCTGGATGTAGCATTTGAGTGAACACTTTCCTGATGAATTACAACTTGTAGTTAGAGACCACGGAAAGCTTACTTCATTATTCTCATTTTGGAACAGCAAATGAGGGCTTAGTCCAGCATAACTTCTGTAGTTCCCATTAAGTTTTATATTCCAGCAAAATAATTTTTTACTTACTCCACTTTTCTTTTTTGGCACTTGCTCATTTCAGAAAGTGACAAAATTCCTAGAAACTTCAGTGGCATCAGGATTTTTAGTATTAAGAGCACAGATGTCTCAGACACTGAAGGACAAAACAGTTAAGATAATATTAAAAAAGGGTATGCAGATCACTATGTACATGTATGTTTAAACTCATTCAAGGTGAAAGAAACTCACAGCTTAAAATTTATGTAGCATAAAGGTATCTGAATGCTGTCAATTAATATTCTAAGTCACATGTGGTGGACACATACTCATAAAGACTAAAATAAATTACAGCTACTTTATTATTTGTGGCATTTCCTGACAATGCTTAGAGAGAATCATCAAGGAAGAGAATGCAAAGGTCATAAGAACTTGTGAAACCTTGAAGACTAGTAGTTTCCACTTAGTTTTCTCATGATCGGACTGTCAGGTTCAGCATTAGTAAAAATACTTCCTACAACCACATGAGTACCCCAGATATTATGACGAATAACTTTGCAGCAGCCAAGATCATCAATGGAAAATCCCAAGTGGCGGTAGCGTTCATCTGTTTCAAACAGAGTGTTGTTTGTGTAGGATCCAAAATACTAGGGGAGAAAAAAAAATAATATTTTTTTCACGTGAACATTTCCAAGGACATTTAAAATGCCAGAAATATCCCTTTTTAAAACAATCCCTAAGCCCAGAAGTACCAGCTGCATTTGCTGGGAGCAAATTTTATGTAGTTTTATTTATGAAATTGCGCAGACAAATAAGCTGAACACTTCTGGTTATTATGGTACCCCATATTTACAGATACTTCTTTGCCACTGACAGAGCACTGAAGGCATACCATTGTGTTTCAATATCTGATCAATCATACATAAAAAAAAACCACCCTGAAGTGTTTTGGAAAGGTTCTGCTACTTCTACAGGCACCAAAGACGGAATCCTTCTGTGAAAAAGCAAAACTGAGGCATGGCCCTCTTTAATGAGCCCCTAGTAAAGAAAGGTGCTTTGAAGGCCAAAAATGCATGTTAATTGGGAACAGGTATTTCAGTTACCTCAGGGGGAAGTTTCCGACCAAAAGCCTACTTCTGATGAACAGATTATCAGTAAGGGTGTTACTACTGATTTAGACAGAACCCATTTTCATCGATCCATAACTATTCTTTAAATGCATGGAATTTCTGGGAAGCTTTTAATCACTATAAACACCTTCAACTGCCTGTTCACCTTATAAACATCCCATTAGGCATATTTGCCTCTGTTGACAAAATAAACCACCTGCCTTTTATACTGGTTTTAAATAAAACCCTCTAACCTGAGCTTGGCATGATTATGTTCAACTGGTATGGTTTTACCAGTTCTCAGGCAAAACTGCATATATACTCATGCTTTGACAGGAGCTTTTTCAATTCTTTTTTGTAAGTTTTAAGACTATGTTCCACGGATGTCTTTGTACAAAACTGTCATCTCCCCAGAGAACTGATATGATCCAGTAATAAATGCCAGTGCTGTTTTATAGGAACATGCTATTCATTTTTTCTATGTAACAAAGGTATCATTAACTAGTGCAAAGAGACTTTTTAAAACTCTCCATCTATACAGATAGATGTCAGATCTACCTAGTTACCTTGAGAGGGCAAAACCAGCTTATTGCACAGTGACCAAGAGCTTTTGAACATAAAACTACAGTTATCTAAATTTCAACTTAATTGCTGAACAACATTCTCCAAAATGCCAACTGCAATGACAGTGGACACAGCACGGGAACTAATGCAGGTTTACTATCCTATTTTGATTCATGAAAGGACTTATCCTAACAGCTTTTGAGTCACGTGAAAAAGTTGGATTTAACCCATACAGAATACAAATAACATTGCTAGTTAGGACACAGTGGTGTCCATTGCATATTCGACACAGCACATAACTTACTGCCAGTCCTGAGGATGGATCAATGAAGTCGGCCCAATAGCCTTCTGAACAAATTGCATAGCAAATTTCCTTGGCACCATTAATGAACTTAAAGAAAAGGGAAAAAAGGATATGAAATGAGATTTTTGTTACATACATATGTGTACATATAACATTCTGAAAATGATCAGGCACAGATTTCTTTTGGCCTGACCTAAGAAATTTAGCATACTTTTAATAAAAATATTACTAAGAGGATTAGAATTACGTTAGACTACTCCAATCATACAGGATTTAGGAGTGCTCCTCATGCCAGTCAGTAACGGATTAACAGCTTGTACAAGGAATAATGCAATTGCTTTCATTACTCATGCAGATTGCAATCATACCTGTTATCCTCTTTAAGAAGTCAACCATTACATCAGGCGTTTGTGTTATTTCCACAAGTTTATTGATCTCACCTAAACTCCACAAATTTGACACCGAATGTAGCATTAAATATAGTTTTATAAATATATGAAAAACAGTTTTGCCCTATGGTCTTATTTCAGCCAGTAGGACAACATCATGTAGTTCTTCCTGCACTACAAATGGTTTTAAAGAATGCTTTAGTTTTGCCTCATGATACCGAACAGTTCCATAGGCATTTGACTTTTATACCAATTCTCTTGAATTACTGCCAGTAATTCCTGGTGGTCAGGATGATGATTTCAAACTCTCCTACTATTTGATTGTCAAAGTTGTAGACCATATTTCAGTTATACTGGAGGACACCAGCTGATGTATTAATTAAAAAAAAAAAGTATTTTTAATAAAAACTATATTTTGAAATGAAAATAGTATTGTCAAATAAGTGAGACGTTAATAAGTTCCCTATTCTGCAACACATCACCAAAAAGCTCCCTTCTTTGAAGGGACATCTTAAAGAATCTATCGTTTTAGGTAACTTAAATCTTTGGTGTTATGTTGCAGTTAGTTATCTGCTTGCCAGATACAGAAGAAAATTCAACCAGGTAGATTTAAAGCTGTGCTCCTGTACTGACACCAAAATGCATGGCACAAAATAATCACACAACCTACAGACTACACAGCACATTTTGTCCACAGATAAATCAGCAACAAGAGACCTCAGTTATGTGCTTTTAGTCACCCAGACTAGCAGTTTACAACCAATGTCACAAAGGGCAGCAGGGGCCCATAAAAAAATTCTGAAGAAGACGGCATAGTTGATAAAAAAAAACAGCAAACAACCAAAAAACCCCAAACCAAAAATCACAAAAGTTGAGATTTGTGATGGTTCTAAAACCATCCATGCACTCAGAAAAAGACCAAGTGCAAAACTCTAACAGCTGAGAAGACCAAGCCAGAACAAAGCACACACAGAATTCACGTAACTGCCTCAAAACATGAGAGAAATTTCCTAACATCACAAAAAGTATTTCTAACTTCAGAATAAAACTAATACTTTATTACTTTCAGTTATAAAAATAAGATTGTTCTCACAGTTAGTGCCCTCAGCAGCTCCAAGTTTCAAATTTATAGAAATATTATTATAGTTACTCAGCTTCAGTTCCTCAATGGACCAAAAAAGGAAAGTTTATCCTTTACAGTAAGCTGTTCTATAGTTTGAGGTTGGATGGCTCTGATGATTAACTACGTTTCAAGTATAATTAAGTCACAAATATAAACATCTGAAGACAGCATTTTAGGCATTATATTTCTGGTACAGTACCTGTTTTGATCTAATGCTGTAACAGTGATCACTTAGAACAAGATTAACAAACACTGGAGATTCACTTCTGTAAACATTTACATTTGGCTGTACATAACCCTCATTACTTTAGCACAAGCCTCTCACATTAAATTAGTATTTTTAAAGTTACTCCTACCCAACTATGAAGCAAACAAATAGACCATTTTCTTGTGAATTTGCTGTTAGTAACCTTTAGGCCGGGAGGTTACATCCAACATCCTAACACCCCTACAATGACTGTATTAGATTTGACAGGGAGGTGCACACTGAAGAAAGATGCCAATTAACACGTAATTAGACCAGATTACAATGCCAAAGACCAACAGACCATAAATAATTCAAAGAGAAGAACACACTAAAATGAAGGGAATTTTAATTTGTGTGTATTCTTTATGTCGATCCTTCAGCCTGCTTCTTCCTTTTTTGTGGTAGCCCTTAACACTGCTCCATACAAGCTACATTTGCAATTTACAGGATTGAAAAGGACGTTACCACACTATTTTCAAACACAAATATGACCATCACAGATCTAAGTCCCATAGGACGATTTTTACTAGTTTTAGAAAAATTATAACAAATAATGTACAGGAACATTGCATTTTGAGGTGCCAAGACAAGAATGACAGCAGTGGTGAACAGTGACACCTACTGTACACACAAAAATAATCAAGAACATGAAATTAAGTGATTTTCAATGAGACATCTAGTGGCAACAGAGGAAAAAGACAAAGCTCATGAGGATGGTTAGGACGAAATAAATGTAACTGATACCCAGGCTAAAAATATTAACTGTACTCATTATCAAAATGGGGGGGTAAGGGGGGAATCACAAAACAAACCCCAAAAGACAACAACTGCTTTTTACAAGTAAGCACGTACTTATCCACAGATCCTGTACTGGAATCTCAATTACATCGTACAAAAACAAAGGCAACAGTGAAATCCTGTAAATTACATAGTATTAAAGCAGAATGAAGGTAAGAAAATAGTTGCTGCCCTTTAGCTGCAACAGGACACTGATCGTGTATCTTTGTTAATTTACAGTAGCATTTTACCTTTTAGCATGCTTTTGACTCACGCCACTATAAAGAATTTAATCGTCCTATGAGATTATTTGGTTTAGTGCGAGGTGTCCCTGCCCATGGCAGGGGGGGTTGGAACTAGATGATCTTAAGGTCCTTTCCAACCCTAACTATTCTATGATTCTATTCTATTTCACGTAGTCAAAAACCTACAAAGCTGGAAAAAAAAAAAAAAATCATCATTCTATCAGTAAGAGAACATAGAATTAGTGCAAAAATCCTCTTAAGTAGTAAAACAGATGTACTACCAGAGCTAGAAACAGATCAAAATACACACATAGTTCACAAAAGATTAATCTGCCAACAAAATGAAGCTGATGCTAATGTCAGCTACTTACATTTTCTAACAGCATTTCTCTCTCATCCTCCACTTCTTGACTCCATACAGTCATATCATTTTTAGTCTTCTGGGTGACAGTTAATACTGTTAACTGGTTGGTATTCACTTCTGGAAACATTGACTCAAAATCTAAAAAAAAGTAAAACTGGCACATTATGGCTTGTTCTTATATTTTACTTAAGATTTTTCAGTTTGACACAAATTATCAATCCTACTTTAGAAACCTTCTTTCATTGAAATACATGTGTGTTTTTCATATCAGATCCAGCAAACAGCATGCTGATTTGAAATGCTGATGTTGCTTTTGTGGAAACTAATGCGCCTTGGTAAGGTCCTGTTAAAAGCAGTTTGGGGAGCAGAGTTTGCTAGTTCAACACCTCTTGCTGAATTGCAAGATGATAAAAGCTCCAGGAGCAAGTGTCTGTCTTTGCAAAGATATAAAACCAAGTATAATACTATTTTAGTATTTGGAGTTGAACACCGCCACAGTTCTCCACACCCGCTGAGAACTGGCTAAGCCACATTACATAATGCACTGAATTTTACATTAAATCTTTCAGTAGTAGTGTCTCAGATCTAATTCCTAGTACATGACAGCAGACTCAGTATCAGTAGTACACTATGTGCATGAGTTGTGCATGAGTCACCTGGAGCAGAAAAGGCCCAAACCCATCATGATTTTCTGTACATCATCTTTTGTACTACAGACAAGAATGCACATGAAGTGCCAAAGTCATGATAAGGGTTCATGAAGCCTTATTTTTAGTGTAGGGGAAAAAAGCACTTTCCCAAATTAAAAAGTCCAAAGGTTCGTTCTTATTTAGTCTCTGAAAAGTCTGCTCTCTTCAGCACGTAGACCAAGATTTTAACCAGATTTCAGTCTCTTCTCTCTTTCAGTTTATCACTTTTTAAATCAGAAGGTTTTACTCCTATTTAATTTCAATAATTTCCTTCTTAAGCACATTAATGAAAGATACAAATCCAATGCTTTCAGAAGTTTCATAATTTCAATTTGCTATTTTACTAAAAAGCAGTGCCAGAAAGATTTGACTTTGTCACACTTTGGTTTTTGGGTAGTTAATTAGCTCCAGAATCTACCTGACACAAAAGAAGCCCCTGAAAGTTACTCCCTGCCCCAACTGATCTTGAATTTAAGTGGCACTGAATTTTATATGAAATACTAAGTATTGTCAATAGCAAAATTTCAGTTTTCCTTTTATAGTGTGTATTTACCTTTTGAAAGTATTAACTCTGGATTGCTCTTTTCTATTACACATTTTGTGGCATCAATTACATCAGTGTTTACTTACGTATTTTTGCATTTTAAAAAGTTATGATTTCTTAGTTGTCATTGAAAGTGAAAATATACCTTTTCGTAACAGTTCAGGACAAGCTTGTACTGCACATTCTACCTTTGCATTTTCAAAGTAAGTTTCAGCATTATTTATTTGCTGTTTCTGTGGAACATCAGCACCCTGAAAAAAAATGAAAACTGTAACTTTCTCGTTAATATGTAACAGGAATAACTTTACACACTAGACTATGGCTTTGTGATACACTGATACACTCAAGCAGTTTCACAGAAAGGTGATTTACAATGAGTCTTCATTTTTCAACTACTGGAAGCGGAATATATATATATATATATATAGGTATTACCTGTTAAACTTGTACAGAAATTATAAGTTTTATACCTTATTGCAATCATATTATCTCAAACCCTTAAAGAATACAGAAATTTTTGAAACACATAATTCTGAAACAATGGCCTTAAGTATTCAACACAACACCAACTGATAGCTTTCAGATAGAGACACATTACCTGAGCAAGAACAAAACTTTAAAGTTATACAACAGTTCTAGAGCTCTGAACTATCAGTATCTTGAGCTTTAGCTGTTTTAACTTGAAAAGCAGAAGTTTTCTAATAATAGCAATTTCCAATTTTTATTTTTTATAGTTTTTAGTTCTACTGTTTAAAAAAAAATAACCCCACACAAAACAAAAAACCCACAAACACCAAACAAACAAAAACCAAACAAAAAAAACCCCAAATCCAAACATCATAAAAAAAAAAAAACAAAAACAAATTCTTGTGCTATGTGGTACATATGGAGCACCAGTAGTTAAATAGATAACATGTAAGCTTAAAATACCCTTAAAGAAGGTAGTAACAACAGCTGCCTCCTTTGGGATAGATGTAAAATGCCTTAATACAGTTTTTCTAGCTCAAACTATGCCATAATTTACAATCAATTTCAGCATATTTCTCTAGGACTGGTATTAAAATGTTGGGTAGTACATGAAATCCTACATAACACGTGTTTGTAACTGAAAGTTCTCCTTAGAGAAAACTATTACACTGAAAACGCACTGTGGATAGCATTTTTGTATCAGAAGTTAATGACTGAGAACAGGAGAAAAGAACAAAAATCCACAAAAACACAAAAAAGCAACAAAACCAAAACCCAAACCATTAGAAAATAAACACAGTAATAAACAACAATTAGCTGCAGTTTCAATACATGTCTCCACACATACCTTGCACTATGATTGCAAAGTCACTCGGATAGATCAGTTGGTACATTAAACCCAACAAGCCATGCTGCAGTTCCACTTTCTGATATTGACAGGCTGGTAAACCCATTTACTCTGCTCAGATAAAACTAACACATGAATCTCAAGTACACAGAGGTCAGAGAAGCCTGACATTTCTATGGCTGTTTCAAGGACTAGTGCATGAGCTTCAGTAGCACTGAGCTTTTTTGCAGCTTGCTGCAGTAACCTATGGTTCCAGTATTCAGCTGATGCCACCATTCAAATTGGGGTCCTCTCCTAAGAGGAGTAGCTTGACATTTTTGTTAGCTAAATGCTGTTCAGGGATTCCTAAACACCACTGGTATGGATCAGAACTGACTCATGGTGACTGCTTTATGAACACCAGTTGCAAAACCTGCCTCTGCTCTTTCCAGTTTCTCCTATTTTGGAAAGCAACACATGCACTGGGCATTTTACCATGCAAGTAATCTCACTAGCAAGAGGACCATGCATTCAGTGCATCTAGTTTGCACTAAATGAACTAGACCAGAAATTTTCTGTATGGAAAGTATAATCCACAAGAGCTGCAAACAGGCTGGTGAGCTCAGCGCATGCTTCTGTTTTCCGAACACTTTTGCTACAATGCCACATTTACAAAAATCACTACACAGCATTTCTACACTGGAGATTTGCTAGTTGACTTCCAAAGTCAGAGCACGTCACAAACTCAGAGAGGCTGGAAAGCCAAGTCAGCATCTAGTTCTTGAAACGTTGTGATCACACTAGCAATTATCAAGCTGCCTGATGTTCATAATGCATCTGACTCACTGCAAGCTCTGCCATCACTTACATGCAGTCTCATTGTGAGACCCAAGGTTGAGGTACACTCATCTGTTTCTCCTGTGTGATTCAAATGGTTGTCAGAACTAAATGGGCAGATCTAAACATTGTTGAAACTATGGAAGTCCAGATCCGTTAAATAAGATACTGAAAAAACTACCAATTCTATTTGATAAAAGGTGGTGTGCCTTGGTAAACAGCAAGTTTTGAAAGTTTTCTTTTCCCATATCCATGTGATTAAGTCACTACCAAAATGGTATTTCACTAAGCACTGCCTAGACATACAGTCAAGAACCCCAAACCTTGAAATATTTTTCACCTGAAAGGAGGTTCAGCTATGTTCTATGTAATCTTTTGCTCATCCGAGTCAAGTTCACCTTTCAAGACCATCTAGAAAACCAACTGTACCTTTTTTTCAGGATGAAAAGACATTAGTTACATTTTCTTTTAAACAAGAAATATCAGCTTCACATAGAAGCAGCCTGTTCTTACCTGAAATTCATTTATGTATTGTGCCATTATAAACTCATGCCTTTCACTTGCTGAAGGCTCTGCTAGTATATCAGGCAGACTTTTTGAAACTTGGCTTTTCTTCTGAGAAGCAGTGCCATTTAGGTGACAGTCAAAACCAATATTACCAGGCAACTGGAATCTCTGGTCCTGAGGACCAAATGGACCCATTACTTCATCTGGCCACACAGTTCTTGAACCTGCAAAAGTCAATGCCTTGCTTTAGTCATCACATTTGAAAAAAAAGGAGAAAAATCCTTTCCCACACAAATATAATGTATTTGATCACAATCATATATAACCAAAGTAATCACAACACACAAGCCCTGACATAAAAACCCCACTTCAGAATTCCCAAATTTATATGGGGTGCAAAGTTCCAATAGCACACAAATTCAAAGAAAATGAATTTGTTTTTTCTTACATAAATCAGGAGGTGTAGCAGCAACATGAGGCTCATCTGAGCCAGAGGAACCTGCTGTAGAAAAAGCCTTGGGATTTACAACTCTTTTGACTAAGGAATAAAACCCTGGCAGGTAGGTGACCAATCTTGCTCTGCTACAGAGCACCTGAGAAGACAAAAACAAAATAAGTATTACATACTGCTAGCAAAAAAATGTTAGATTAAGTACAGCTTTGTGGGTCACAAGAGAAATCCTCACTTAATTACAGTTTTCATTAGGATTAACTGTGCTTCTGTAAAATCATGTTTTAAAGTATTTTATGATTACTTTTATATTTTATTAGTAATAGTATCTTAAGTAAAGAAAAAGCCTTGAAAACATTTATTGAAAAGCTTCCTCACGTGAGGGGAAAAAAACCCTCAAAAGTTTAAATAGCACCACTGAAACCCCCCAACCTAAACTGAGTTATGGATGGGGAATGTTTCCATGATTAGTTCCATGCATGTAATTGTTTCTATATCATAATTCAATCACAGGATTGATTAGCAGAAACACGTAGAAATACTGTTAATTAAGCAAATGCTGATACCAGAGACATTTGCCTTGAAAGACAGCACAAACATTAGCCAGCCTATATTCCTACTTCTTAGAAGACGGGAGGGAGACACAAATCGTATCACTCCAGATACTCCTTGTGGCTTTCCTCACCAGAAAAGGACACATCCTAACAGCTCTGAATGATACAGGAAGATATGCATATCAAAACAGGTAAGTATGGTCATTTCAGCTTCTTTCTTTTGCTCATAAGTCCATAAACATTTAACATGAACAAAACTTGCTAGTGCAGGCAGTATTATTTAGATTTGCAAACTCCTTGCATTCAGGTATTTATAAACAAGCATTACTGCAAACAGATCAGTATTGTGGGGAAAATGCTGATAAGCTAAAAAGCCTTCATGAATTCCATGATCTTCAAATACACCAGAAAACCCGCTTCCTACCACAGAGCCGTACTGTCAATATAACTTTCAGTTGCTGAAGATGACTCTCTCAGAAGCTTTCAGCCCCATAGCAAACTGAAAATGCTGCAATGCTACCTTCCTGAGCATGCAAACATCTTGACAAGAGGGCTCCAAAGAGCTAGTAGCTCCTTGCCATGAGGTCCAAGTCCGAGGCCCAATGACAGCATCTTCAGTAGTAACATAAGCAATTGTTACTGCTGGTTTTTTGTTTGTTTGTTGGTTGGTTTTTTGTTCGTTTGGGTGTTGTTTTGTTTGTTTTGGTATTGTGTTGGGATTTTTTTGTGTGCGTGTTTTCTGTGTGTTTTTTGGGCTGGTTTTGGGTTTTTTTAAGAAAAAATATCCAGGTGGTGCAATTAAATCGAAAAGCCTGATTGATTTGCTATACTTTATTTATTGATTTTTATTTATTTTATTGATTTGCTATACTACTATGCACAACTTTCATGATGCATTTATACAAGTGCAACCAAAAAATAACCAATCATACACTCAAAATGGAGTTAGAAATGTAATATTAAAAAAATTAAAGACTACCAAGCTGTAGCACAAAACTATTAATACTCTTGACTATAGCAGCACAAACACATGCATCACTGGAAAATGCAAACCCCACCGACCATAGCATGCGTGCTTTCACAAAACTAGTTTTCAGGTAAGGGAAAGGAATTAGTTCAAGAAACTGACACAAAGATATTTCCTTAAGTGCTGTATTCCTGATTCTGTAAGAGTTTATCCATGAGTTTACCACTAAATATGTATGCAACAAGGTCACTCGAAAGATGCGAGTAAATGGTACTATTTGACATTAAAGATAAACTCTACTCAAAGCTTTAGGACATGAACTAGTAAGCATCAGATTCTTACATACCACCTCTGTATAAGCATATAATATCTAATAAGTTCTACCAGTATCATAGAGGCTCCAACACACAGAGGCACATTTGATTTTCTAACTTAAATAATTACAGTTAAGGCCTTAAGTTGCTTAGTTCTAAAACACCACTGGTTTAAAGGGTTCCTTTAACAACAACATGCTGATTCCTCTTAAATATCTTTTCCTCTAATTTTTGCATAATGATTATATTACATATAAACCAGATGTAAACAATTACAGCTAACATGCAATTATAAGAAAAGAGCATTTTTTCGTATAATCACGATCACTCAACATGGAGATGCTAATGTTAATTACGGATCTGTTGACTGACTCACCTATGCAAATATTTACATACCTAGCACAAGTGAAAAAATACAGCTGAAATCAATAAATTATTCATGCCTCCGTGGCAAGACTAAACCGGTAACAGGCGTTTTATTTTTCAGTCTGAAAGGAGCCTGGCGAACCCCAGTATTTAATCTTAACTCGTGATATTTAAAACAGAACAAAACCACATCGTACTAAAGCCTCAATTCGGTTACTTCCATGATTTCCACAGAAACTGGCTTCCAAAATTTAGATGAAGGATGACAATACTACCGCTTTCTAATAAAATCTACCTTGGTTTAACTCATATTTTTATTAATGACACTTTCTCCATTCCCCCACCCCCTCAGAAAGATGACTGAAAGACAGCTTTAAAGGGAGAATAAAACGCAAGCGTCCCGCAAAACGCGGAGAACCACTCTGCCTCACCGGCGCCGTTTCCCCTCACTCCGGGAGGAAGCGCAGGGAGGGGTTAGCAGCCACCCCCGTGACGACAGGCGGCCGAGGAGGGGGCCGCAACAGCGTCAACTCCCGGGAGGCGGGGGGGGGCGCGTTACTCACGTTGGCCATTGCAAACGGTGGGATACCTCTCGCCGATAGGCCCGGCTGCCCTGGAAGAGAAACGAACGCACTGGCTTCCTGGTCGCCTCTCACGATCCGACGGCACCGGCCAACCCTCACGGCCGCCTTCCCGGTTCCCCGACAAGGCACCTCGGCGATGCCCACCCGCTGCAGACCCAGCCACCCGCAACGGGCTATGGGAGGGGAAAACAGGGGAAGGAGAAGCAACGCGAAATCACACACGGAGGACGGATGGGGAGCACCGAACGCACAGAAGCCACCGCACCTCTCACCTCTTCCTGTAAAATGGCGTCTGCCGCCGTCACCAGACGCACCCCTGCGACGGCGTCCACCCTGCCCGTCGCCAGGCCGAGCGAGCCGATAAACCGACACCTCGATTAGCGTGCCGAGAGAGCACACAGAGACAGGGGGGGCATGTCGTTCGGCGGCCGATTACTTGGGGCCGGAGATGAGCCAGCAGCGGCGGCGGCTTGTTCTTGCGAGGAGCGCCGGGGGCTGTTGGCCGGTGTGTGGCGGCGGCGGCGGCGACAGTGGCAGCTCCTAGGAGCGGGAGGGCTGACGCTCCCGGGGCCTGTGCTTCTGCGTCTTGGCAGGGCGGAGGGCGTCTCAGAGTCGTGGTGTCAGCACCGGCTCGCCGGTGCAGTACCCGCTGGGTGCACCAGGAGTCAGTCATGTAATATAAGCCGGGCTGCCGTTACACACATAACAGACACACGTACTCTCCGCGCCTCTGCTTTTTGGGACTGGGGGAGACAATGAAGTCGAAAATGAGTAAAAGGGGGGTGTTACTGAGGAAAGCGTAGGGGGAGCTCTTCAGCCGCAGAAGGGCCCCCAGGCCCGGGGTTTTCCTGGGAAGTAGGTGAGAGCGGGGTGCATAGGTGCCACTTGTGCAAACAAAACTGGCCCTTCTAGGGGGGCACATGGCTTCTTCAGAAACTGTTTTACAAAATAACAACAAACCCCTTCTTCAATGAACCAAGTGCTGTTTCCCCCCCCAATTTTGCTGTGGAAATGCTTCGTTTCCTCATCTTTTCTCCTTGTGCCTATTTATTGGGGTCTGTGGTGAGGTTTGCTTGCAAAGCCACGTTTTATTTAAAATAAACTTTTCCATTGTGAGCTAGATCGAGGTAATTCCACGGGCAGAGCTCTTAATAATCTGTTAATCTATGTACTTGCTGCTACATGAAGTTAACTAACTGCTGAACATATTAAATGTCACAGAATCAGAATGGTTTGGTTGGAAGGGACCTCAGAGATCACCTAGCTCTATGCATTGAAAGCATTCTCCTTTGTGCAGTGACAGCAGCTTGGGTTACTGTTCTACTCCGCTCTACTCACTGTCTGCCGTGATGTGCTCTAAACTGATTGTGGACAAGTCTTTGTTGCTCCAAGATAAATGAACAATACAAAGCTAGCTTATGCCTGGTATTGAGCCCTACTGACTATATGGGATTCTGCTGAATAGATGGATGGATTGATACCCACAGAATGTATGTTGAATATATACACTAAGTGGCTCAGTTTAAGTACCAATTCTGAAGTCACATCCCTGCATACGTGCACATGCTCCCTCTTCATTTGCAGAATTGTACCGGTTTTCCAGTACATAGCCTGGGTTCAAAGTGCTCTCCTTTTATTTTTTAATGTCATGTGGAACATAACACATTTGTCCCCCTCTGGCCTGAAGTGTATTTGTATGAAGTATCATCTTAGTTCCTTCTTTTTCATCTTTGTATTTCCTTTTTCTTCATCCACTTCACACACTTTGGCCATCATGGCGTATCTACCAAATCCATGACTTCTCATATGCTATGTTTTTCTAGCTTTTCTAACAAAGCTATATTTATCAAGTCTTAATTCTGAGTGTGGGATAGCCTTCCACAGGCACTGTGCTGAGCAACCTCATCATCATTGTCTTCATGATCAGTCTTTTTTGTTTGCTTAGCACTGGTGATCACCCTCCATATCTTGCTTTCTCATAAATCTTGGCAGTAGTGAAAATGGGAAGGGAGAAAGCTTTGTGGCTGTCGTAAGGTTCAGCACTGTTCTCAGATAGCTTTTTTGTTGGTTTTTCCGTGTTGTGATTTAATTTAGATCAAGAGTTCTTTGAGGCGAAACCCTCCCTACTTGTGTATGTGGAAAGTGCTGTGCATACTAATGCAACTATTTAAATGCTGAATTAAAAATGTCAGGGGAGAGGTGCCTAAATCCAAATATTCTTTAAAGTTAAAATAAAAGAGCTGTATTGCTGTTTGCTTCTGCACTAGAGGGTAAATGTATAAAAGCTACATTAGAATACTAGGATTAAGACTCTTCTTTCTTTTTTTGGTGTTTTTTTTGTTGTTGGTTTTTGTGGGTTTTTTGCCATTTGCTGTCTGTTCAAAGCAGCAGTGCTGGTTAAGGAAGGGGCAACTTTAATCTATTGTCATCAAAATAAAATATGGGTGTTCAGATCCCTCAGTAAATGTGCACATGGCCTTTAATTTACTTTTGTTATAAACCAGCTATTTCTAGACTTTTTTTTTTTTTTGCCTTTCTGCTGGGTTATTAGCATAAAGCAGTTCTAATGGTTTCAATACATAATGGCTAAAAATCAGAGCAAGAAATTGGTTTTGTTGTTCATAATAATATTCAGCCCTACCATGTTCCTACTGCATTTAACAGAATTTTTGCTTTATTTTATTAGGATCAAGAGGAAATTCTTCAATCCAATTCTAAACAATATGATATATTAGATAACTATAATGTTGCAAATCTTATTTTCGGATTTTTCCGGGAGAATATTTGCCCGCTATTGCATGCTGCTCAACTATTTTATTAATTCAATGTTAGCATACTTAATTCTCATTTGCTTTTAAATGAAATATTCATGTTGAATCTCAGAACCTCAGCAAAAAAGGCTGGAGAAATTAAACTTTAACTCTTTACAGAATGTAATTTATTTCCTCTACTAGGAAAGCACTCTGGATTGCATTCAGTCTCTACTGACTTGTCCTTAGGCAATCCCAATTTATCTTCTCTCCAGGGTTAGCACTTCAAGATACTCAAATCAATCAATGAGTTATCATCCCCTGAAGTTTGTGGTCTGAATTCATAAAGATTAATTTCAATAAAGTTTTTACCTCTGTTCAAAGGAGAGCGCAAAATCAAACGATCCAATTACAGATTTATCAAATATTAATAATGAAAATCTTCCAGATCTTTCTGATGCCAATGTTCTTCTCCCCTGGTGTCAGGAAAGTAATTAGCAGCTGGCTTTGATTAAATTCTTTCCTCAGAGATTACTTTTCTCAGTTTGGGGAAGAATGATATCTAATTCCTCATTTTAAAGTCTTTTCTGAAAAATACATGTAGGTTCAGTTAACTGGACACTTTTTCTTTCCATGAAGATGGAACTAACCCAGTTTCTGTCCAGAAGCCTGCAACAATTTTAACGATGGAACCTGAAGTGCATGACCAGCTTTTCCTGTTGTTTTACTGAAATACTCTTTTCCTTTATCAGTTGTTTTGGGTTTTTTTTGGTGGCAGTGGCTTCCCCTTGGCAGTTTGAACAAGGTGCAGCATTGGGAAGAGTCTCAGCAGCTGCAGCAACACTAGAGCAAGAGGGATACAAGAAGGAACTTTCTCAGTCCTCACCACCACTGCCTGAAAAATAACCTCTGAGCTCTGGCTGTGTTTTCCTTCATGATTCCCAGACTTTCTGGATTCCTTAGTCTGCAGGTAGAGGAGCCAGAGGTGCCTCTGAGAAGCTGATTTGGTACCCAAGACATTCAGAAGATGAATTTTCATCCCTTCTCCACTCTGCGATTCCAGGGTCCCAGTGAATCTGGGGAAACTCCATTCTTGGAGGTCTTCAGAACTGAGTGGGATGAGGAACTGGAGTGGAGAGCTCCAGAGATCCAGTGTTTAATGTGGCTTTTTCTGTGATCAGGTGCTTCTGTGTTTATGAAAATCAGAGGGCTCTTCTCACACAAACATCAAATGTTCCTGGACAGTTCCATGTTTGTCAGCCTGTCACTGGTACAGATAGACGACATGTCTTCAGTATCTGCTCAGCCCTGTGGCACCACTGTTGTAAACTGTTTCCTTGGATTGTGAGTGATGGACCCATATTGCTGTTGTGTTCAGTACAGGAAGTTTGCCTTCCTTTCTGCAGAGAAGCATGTGCTGTTCCTGAAGCACGTACACTGCTATATAAAGCCCAGCCTCGAGGGGGTTCTCCTGTCCTCTTCACTTGTTGCAGAAAGAAGACCTTAATCAAACCCTCTTCATCTTCATATTTTATTAATTAGCTGACACATAATTTTGTTTTAAGCTTGCCTAAATAGAGGCTTTTGGATTTTTTCCATAAGCATTAGAGTTGCAGGTTTTGCCTATTTTCCCAAAGTTAGGGTTTCATCCTTAATGTGGGGTTTTGCTGCTTATATGGCCCCATTCACCCTGCAGTTGATCAGGTGATTCAGCTGAAGGCAGTGGAATTGTATCTGTTTAAGAAAGAGGTGTTTTTTTCATTTCTGAATACTGCAGAAATTTGTCAAGTGGTCATAAAAACAATGAGATATTCTTAATTCTTATTGTACTTACACGAGAAACTTTAAAATGTGTTTTAAAGTATCTCCATTTCTGTGCAATGATGGATAGTGCTGGTGCTTGCAATCTACCTAATGCATCCATTAAACTTCATTAGGACTTTGTTAAACCGAGGTTAAAATCATTGACATTGATTTTTGATCTCTAAAACCTGCTTGCAGCAAATCAGTAACTGAGCATACCAAAAGCCAGCTGACTATCCTAGCATGCCGGTCACATTCCCTGTGATTCAGAAGGGCATTGTGAGCATGGTAAAGGGAGGGAGAAGGGCCTCAGCCTGTGGTCCTGTGACATTTAGGAACACCATGGGTCTGACCTGCAGAGCTTAGCCCTGGGCTCATGCTCTTCGAGTCAACAGTCTTCACCCGTCACATTGCCTGCCTCGGTCACTGCCCCGACTGGGGAACTTCTAGTCTCTAAGCAATGTCAGTCTCTTTGTTTATTCATTTCATTCACTGTATTTATTTTCTCTTGCATATACAACTGTGGCTCCCCCTTCACTTGACCTGCTAAACCTCGTGTTTGAAAGGAGGAATGTCTGTTCCTAAGTGCCAGTGAAATGGTGATGAAGTAGAAGAGAGGAAAGGTTTTAACATACTCCTAGTCTAGAAAAGTAAACATCCTCTGGCTATAGCAAGAGTAAACTTCCCCTGGAAATGTATGTATTTATATGAACAATCTCTTTCTTCTGGCATTTCCAGATACTAGGCTGGGAGATATGTTTGCTACCACTGGGAAAAGAGGCTTTTTAGTAAGTAGTGCAAATGCACAAGGTAAGTCTTAGCATGGTTTGTTTTCATTTTAGAAAGACGTCCCCCTGGATTTGTTTCTGTGAACCTGAAAGGAATTTCCTCCTTTATCTCAGGGTGTTGCTCAGTGTCTCATTCAGCTCCCCTGCCCATTTGAATGTAC